AATTCTGCACTCCCTGTAGATTGCTGAGAGAGCGGAGTCAGACTGAAGAAGCTGAAATTACATGTTTCTTTTGGACAGTTTTAAAGATTTGAAACAACGTGATGACTCTTGTCGTTTGTAATGGCTTATTGATTGTTTATGACCCTCTATGATTTATAGTTTGGAGCGATAGAAGAATAATGTGGGGTAAAGAGGAAATAGGTGTGCTTTGTAAAGATGTAAAATGCTGCTTAATTATTTGTTCCAACAACTGTAATTCTTTTTTTTTTTTTTTTTTTTTTTTTGGCGAGCAAATACAAATGTGGTTGTGACTAAGCTTCAGGCAAACTTAAGCCTGTTTTAAATAAATGCAAATAAGTAGAAGGTCACACTGAATGAAATCATGGTAACAGTAATAAATAAATAGCATCCCTCCAATTAATCTGTCCAAGCCCGTTTATATGCAGTGTCCCGTATACCTGACATTCTTCGGTACGTGATCCCACAGGGTATTACATGGCATTTCTGCGAGCTGAGGAATTTACATATTTTCAGAGGAGACCTGAATAATGTTTTAGCCGATTACCCTGCTGGAGCTTGTTTGCTGAACATCATAAAATCATGAAATGGATCCAGTATCCGTGTCTGTAATTTGGATGCTCTCGAGCAGCTTTAAGATGGAGGATTTCTGCTGATGTGAGCGGCTCTGTTTTGCTTGTTATTGTTAGTTATGAGGTATGACCTGTGACAAGGCTACATATGGTGCACATCAGAGTGTTATGGTTCACCGTAGCAGTAGATGAGATTGTGTGTGAGCTGCACAAAAATGTTCTTCACAGCAGGGTATCCTGGTAACAACAGCAGAGGGCAAAAAATAATATAAACTAGCTTGGTGTTATTCAGAGAGTAGGCTTAAAACAGACAAAGTGCACATAAACGCACAGGTGCGCTCACCTGGACGTCTTCACAGAGCCATCTGTCACATGACTGCCCGTGCCAACATTGTCGACACAGCGGCTTTCTTGCCTTCGCTGTCTGGACCCTGCAGGCAAGATTGTCCAGTCTGGTTCACACACTAATGTATTATAGTTCATATAATACATATATATGTCATGTGCTTTCTATTGGAAAAATGATCACTTTTGAAGAAATAATTTAATTGAAAAGGACATACTGTTGAATTTCTGTAAAGCAGCAGTTGTATATAGTAATTTATTTTTAAACTCAGGACACAGAAAAGGTGTGCAAACATTGCAATCTCTCACTTTGGTAGGTACCCAGTACTGGAGTATTCTTCATGGAATAGATTCCATAAGGTGCTGGAAACATTCCTCACAGGTTTCGGTCCTCATTGACGTGATAACATCACACAGTTGCTGCAGATTTGAGGGCTGCACGTTTGTCAGTCTCCCGTTCCACAACATCTGAAAGGTGCTTTATCAGATTGGGATCTGAAGACTATGGAGGTCATTTGAGTACACTGCTATGTAGGGCTGCACGATTTTGCATAAAATGAGAATCACGATTTTTTGGCTTATAATTGAGATCACGATTCTCTCACGATTTTCTTTTCTAGTATAAATATTTATTGTACTTATTAACTGCACATCAACTTCGTAACAGTTGAGACTGAACATAAAAACAATAAATAAACATAAAAACAACAAATGTCTCACATTTTGTCGTTGTACTGCTTGAAATTCCGTCTCCACCGTTGCTCGACACTGCGTGTATAGAGCAGGTAGTGCAACAATAGGAAAATAGTTGTGGGACGGCACTGTGTAGCGTTTGTCTAGGGTGTTGATCATTTTCCTAAATCCCTCGTTTTGCACAGTGTTGATGGGAGCCATATCTTTGGTCAGGTGATAAGTGATAGCCTCCGTAATTTCTTTGTGCCTGCGGGAGTTCGACGGTTATGGGGAGGCGCTGTATAAGGTTCCCGTTATTGATGTTTGGGTGGCTGACCGGGACGGATTTTCTCCTGTCACTTTCTCGTCATCCCTGACGTGCTCTCCATTGTTTTTTTCCCTGCTAATTTTAGCAGCCAGCTTCTGTATCACATGGTATAAGGCTCCGCCCTTGTCATTTGTTGAGCAGGAAGAGTGAGCGCTTGTTTTCATGCAGATTACGTCCCGGATCAAAATGCGATACAATCGTCGTCTTTTTTTTTTTTTTTTTTAAATCGTTGTCATTTGGACATGAGATCGCACATAAGTATGAATCGAGATCGCGATTTTCTAACGATTAATCGTGCAGCCCTACTGCTATGTTCACTAAACTAACCTGAGATGATTTGAGCTTTGGCTCATCAGTCCAGACAACAGTGGTCCAGTCTCCTGTTGTCCATTTTTCCAGAGCCCGTGTGACTTGTAGCCTTGGTCTCCTGTTTTTAGGAAAAATTGAGTGGCAGCTGTGTAAGTCTGCTGCTGCTGTAGCATTCAGCCATGCTCTTCTACATATGTTCTAACAATATACACTAACATGTGTATATTTAACTTACTGTTGCCTTCTTATCAGCTTAAAGCACTCTGACCTCTGACCTCTGGCGCCAACAATTTCCAAAATACTCAAACCAGCCCACTTAGCACCAACACCCATGCCATGTTCAAAGTCACTTAAGTCACCTTTCTTCGCCATTGTGGTGCTCAGTTTGAGCTTCAGCAGATCATCTTGAGAGTTAGATTAATTTTATGCCATGTGATTGGCTGAGTAAAGACTTGTTAACCAGCAGTTAAACAGGTGATTGGCTGTTGAACTGCTTAACAGATATTTATGGGAAATGTAGCCTTTAGCACAAACAAAAGGATGACTCTATAATGAGGCAGCCAGCTTTCATAGAAACTTTTCTCTTTCTTAAGCTGTCAGTGTCAGTGATGCTGTATTGTCTCATCAACGAGATAATAAACCCTAACACCAAGCTGAACATTGTTGCAACATTTTGGAGAGATGATTGATAATTAAAGGAACTGTTCAACCCCAAATCAAATATAAATGTTTTTGTCTTGCCTATTTTCAAGATATCTGCTATAGAAATGTCTGTCTTCTCTTGAATGTAGTGAAACAACATGCCATTCGCCTGGTACTCAAATTGCATATGAAAAACTGTTTCACAGAAGTCGGGACCACCTAGTTCCATTATCTGTAAGAGAAGGCAGACATTTCTACCAGAGGTGACTAAATATATGTTTAACTTTGGGTCAGACTGACCTTTTTAATGATAACTATGCCTTCTAAAATGTCCTGCAAGCATAAAGACTGTGATTACTGTGACGCTATAGTATAGAATTGCAGAACTGTGTGAAGGATTACTGACTCTGTGGTCACTTAGCGACACCAAGTGTTGGATGGCAGAATTACAAGCATTTGCCTGTTTTATATGAACCAATCATAATACCAATACTTAAAATAAAAAAACCCAAAACCCCACAAAACTTTCTCTGCGTAACTTTAAACATTTGGAAGGTTTTGAACCAAGACAAAGTTTTTGCCATTCTGTGTAATGTTCTGTTACTTTATCAGTTCTTCTTCTGATCAATAAAACATCTTCTTACTTGCTTATTTGTAGTCATAGGTGAGGCGCAGACCAGTACCACTGATTTACCGATTTACTAAACAACTTTTTTCATTTAGTATAGTATTTTGTCATTGTTCGACTGATTTTGATGCACTATTCCTTCCGCTTCCCGTGACGTTGTTGTTCATTTTTGATCGCGTCAAAGAATGAAAATGTGTCATCGCTTTCCTTTGATATTTAACCCCAGACGATTTTCTAAATTGACAGTGTTATTGGGACATTAGTGGGTGAGTGACACAAATGCGGCTGCTTTTTCGTAAACAGCTTTAAAAAGCCTTGCGGTGCAGCTTGGTGCAATTTCTATTTCTGTGTTGGTTCATTATCACTGACGAAAGATTCTATATTTATATATATTTATATGTATGAAAAAAAAATTGCCTGCAGAGAAAGACGGCGAAAGGAGGCCAGAGACAAAAGATGATAGTGGGATAAAAGGATGTGGGGGTGAGGGAGGAAGGGAGGTGGTAAGTGATGGTGGTGCCAGTAGTGGTGGTGGTGGAGGGGGCTGTATGTACACGACCAGAGTTAGCATGAGACAGAGGAAAAACAGAGAGAGAGAGAGAAGGAAAGAGATGGGATTTTAGAGGATTTAGGTGGTGGTTTTGTATTAAAACCTGTTAGACACATCGTAACCAAGTACAGCGACGTTCAGGAATCAACTCGGATACAACTCGTTGGATGAAATCTACTTTTTTTAACACCTGGGATCTGAATCAGGACAGCCTTCGGTGAACTGGATACACAACTAACATCTCCCTTCTTTCCCTCTTCCTTCTCTTTTTTTCTCTTCTTCCTCTCCAACTCCCTCCGAACATGTTCTTCTTCCAGCTCGTCATCATGTCCGGCACGGTCCTGTTGGCCTACTACATGGAGTGCACAGACCTGTTCAGCGTCCACGTGCAGGGTTTCTTCTGTAATGATGCTGACCTGATGAAGCCGTACCCTGGCACGGAGGAGTCCAGCTTCGTCCCTCCTCTCATCCTGTACTGTGTGGTGGCCGCTGCTCCGACGACTATAGTAAGTAAACAGCAGTGTTTAAAACCAGGTCTTCTCTGTGGATTGCTCGAATTGTTTTACAATTTTCTCGTAAACAGCTGTCGTTAAATCCAGCTTGGGTTCATTTATTCAGGGTCTCCTCATCTTTGACTTTGCTTCGAATCCTTCGCATCCATTTATTTTGAGGAGTGAATAATTTAAAAATGCAATTATCATTACTCTGCTAGGTGTCCTAGTATATGCAGGCTAATTTAAAGTTGTAATTTTGCGTGACATGACCCAGTTTTGTGCTGGCATTTTTAAGTAAAACTGACTTGCAAATAATATACCTATCATTAGATATCATCCATTCAGCCTTCTGTCTGTACGCTACAGCAGCTGCATACCTATCTCTGGTAAAATATGGAAAAATATGCAAGAAAGATTTCACGGCAAGCAGTTTATGCCTGCAGGCCGTACTCTTTCAATATCTTTTTATGGGTCAGCTAATAATATGTATGTCCCTGATTTCCTGTCTGTAGAATCTCTTTGACTTGTTTATCATACTCTACAAAACATCCTGCTATAGTGAAATGTGAGGCTGTGCTATACAGGGAGCAGTACATGTTGAAATACAACTTCATATCATATCTCATGGAAGGCAAGAATTACATTCACTGACATGACTTTTATTTGTTTGCAGACATTTTAACAAGGACATGTTATGCAAAATCCATCGCCTAGTAATGGCATTATTAGCATATTAGGCTAATTTGTCACAGGATGTAAAGCACACACGTGTAATCAATACCATGAGTCATATTTGGCCATATCTGTTGAGGGTGGCACAGTCCTGATACACCAAAGCTATGTGTTACTACTCTGGTGTTTAAAAAATTCCAGCTGCAAAGATAAGAAATCATTCTCTGAAAACAGTCATTTCCAAGCTGACTTGCATGCACGCTCATACCGTGCATGCACTGCTGATTTAAATGCCTCAAACAGGAGTTGCGAGTTTCAGCCACCAGGTGTCAGTTTTGCTCCATGCTTATTAATTTCAGCCCGTTCACAACAGGCACCATCTGTCTCTGAGCCCTTGGGTCAGCTCATTATTAAACCCATGTCAAATATTTTCTGAACACTTCCTGAAGCGTGTTTGCATTTGCTTGTTTGATATTAAAATGTATTTTTTCTCTCCAATGGGCCATATGTGAAGGAAAAACAAAGTTAGTCTGAGAATACAGAGAACATTTGGTTTTTGAGTAGCTGCTGTCTGAAGGTCAAATGGCCACGTATATATGTATTTGAAGATGTACTATGGATACACTGATAGCAGCTATTTTACCAGCATTTGTTTGTTGTCAAAATCAAAATATCTCACCAGTGCTGGAGATTGTACAGAACTGAGATTAGGATCAGTGGGTTTGACTGGTTGATGTGCTGCTGTGATTCTGAAGTGTAGTGTAATCACTTATTCTTTCTGTAGGACAATTAATTTTCATTTATCTTTTTTTTTTTTGTGCCCTGGATTTCTTGTTCAAAAAGACAGACTTGTTGTAAAGACCATAAACAAGATCGTGGATCATCAGCTTTAATGTCCAATCAGCATCAACTTCCCAGCTTTTTTGCACTTACTTGGTATTATTTTATCTACTGTGCTAATCGAGTTACTGAGTGGTTGAAAAGCCGGCTCACATGCTACATGTTCCATTGATTGTAATCTAAATTTTGCTCCCTAAATGAATATAGAAAACCCTTTTCAGTAGTGTCACATGTCCATTTCCCTCATAACCTTGTTTTTATTGCAATTTTAACAGGCATCTAATCATGGATGTGATCGTTACACCAGTCGGTTAACACATACACTACCACCCATTTATTTATGATCAGCTGCCTCCTTTGGTCCCTTGCTTTTATGCGCTTCTACTTTAGGTGTTTGCATAGAGGCTTTGAACACCGACTGTTGTCACAAGCGTGTTTCCTGAAGTAAAATCTGAATTATTGTCACTTTTATTGAGGAAATAAAAGACATCCCATAGCTTGCATTTACCTCCATGTAGGTGTTTGGTCTCTTGATGTGTCAGCAGAACGGAGAGAAACACACCTCTCTGCATTCACACACATATGTGCACATGCAGATTTGACATGCTTTATACAATAACACAAGCTGGTTTAAAATCTGGAAGGGTGCTCTGATTGGCTAGGAAATGTGACAGATGTTATTATTTACACTTCATGGGGTGAGAGTGCATCTGTGTGCAATTTTGACTCACCTTTCTGCAGTGATTACTTCAGTAAGTGGGTGTGCTCACTGACCACTTCATTAGGTACACCTTACTAGTACTGGGTTGGACCTTCTTTTTCCTTTAGGGCTCCCTTAGTTCTTCATGGGATCAATTCAATAGAGTGCTGGAAACACTCACCTGGGATTTTGGTCCATATTGACATCATAGCAGCAGCTGGTTGAAGATTCTCAAGAATCTCAAGTTCCATCACATCCAAAAGGTGCTCTAGTGGATTGAGATCGTGTGATAATGGAGCCTTTTTGAGTATAATGAACTCATTGTTGTGTTTAAGAAACCAGTTTGGGATGATCTGGGCTTTGTGAAATGACACAATAACTTGCTGGAAGCAGCCATCAGAAGATGGGTACAGTGTGGTCGTACATGGTCAGAAACAATATTGAGGTAGCCTATATCATTTAAAGAATGCTCAAAGTGTGCCTAGAAAATATCCCCAAACCATTATAAGGCCACCAGCAGCCTGAACATTTGGTACAAGGCAGGATACATCCATGTGTTCATGTTGTTTATGCTACATTCAGACCCAACCATCTGAATGTTGCAGCAGAAAGCGAGACTCGTCAAACCATGCAAGGTTTTTTTAACCTTTTATTTTACTGTATTGTACTGTAGCTTCAGCTCTCTGTTCTTAGCTGACAGAAATGACACTCATGCTGGTCTTATGCTGCTGTGGCACAACTGCTTCAAGGTTCTATGTTTTCTCTGTTTAGAGATGTTCTTTTGCATACATGAATTGTAAAAAGTGCATACTTAAGTTACAATTGCCTCAAGTATGATAGCATTCTGGTCATTCCCCTTTGGCTTCTGACATCACTGAGGCATTTCCTCCCAGAGAGATGCCACTCACTGGATATTTTTGTTGTTTGGACCATTCTCTGTAGACACTAGAGATGGCTTGGTGAGGAAATCCCAGTAGATTGGCTGGTCCAAGTACTTCAGAAACCGCTTACAACCAACAACCATGTTCAAAGTCACTTAAATGACCTTTCTTCCCCATTCTGTTGCAAGTCATCTCGACTATGTCTGCATGCCCAAATGCTTTGGCTGCTGTCATGTGATTGGTTAATTAGAATCTTCAATAAGGAGCCATTGAAGAGGTGTACCTTATGAAGAGGTCAGTGAGTGCATGTGTGTATACTTGGTCATGGTATGCAGTCAGTAGATAAGTATAATTATTTATTTTGTTGTTATCCTTTGTTTATAAACACCACTCTGTCACTGGAACATTTGTTAGTGGATGATTTTCGCATTATACCTGCAGATTAAATCTTTCTTCCTTTCTCCAAGTGTCACTTATTCATTCAACCTTTATCTTGACTTGTAAATTGCACTGAACCCACTTGCAAGCATTATTTACTATACAGTATACAGTAGCTGACTAAAAGGCCAGCAGTTGTTTAACGCATTGTTTGCGTAATTTAATACTCAGTCTTAGTCCCATCCCCTCCTCAGAGAGTGCCGTGTCAGCTGTTAAAGCTTTTTTGTAATCCTGCCACTTCTTTCCACTGTTTTTTTTTATTCTGCCCGCTTTTTTGTGACTTTCTCTTTGGAATATGCTCTATATGGCCTTTCTTTTACAAATTGCCTTTAGCCATTGGTACGCCATCCCATACCTTATAATTGTGCCCTTTGAGAGTGCTTTGTCAGGTGCTTGACACTGTGTGTCATTCCATCTCCATGTGTCATAAAACAGAGGGGTATTCAGTCAGAATTAATGATGGCAGGGCTGGGACGTGGGCCAATTAGTACAGAGTCAGTAAATTATGCAGTTTTCCACATGGCCGGACCAATGGGATGCTGTGAAGGTTAGATGGGCTGTGTTCATGCAACAGCCTATAAACCCGTTCAACCATGGCATAAGGCAAAATAGAGCCCGTTTTATCATCTTCAGTGCCAAGATGATAAAATATTGCTTTTGCCAGGTGTACATCCCACAGAAACAAAAGATAATGTTTCCCAAAATGGGCAACATCTGTGCATTTTATCACACACCATTTTAGCTCCTTGTGGCTTATTCCACTTCCTCAATTGTGTGTCTTGGTAGCAATACTGAAAATGATGGGCTCATTAAGAAGAGATTTAAAGCTTAAAGCAGCATTGATTGTTGTTGTTTTTGTTGTTCTGTTTTTCCCTTTTCCCCCTCTTGGCAAAGTAGCAAGACTTAAGCTCGACATCTTTACATATTATCACCCTCTGAAATGAATATGCAAACTGTATCCTATTCACACATCCTCAAAGACACAAAGCAGTATCAGCGTTCATTTGGTGTTTCAGGAGTCATATTCTGTTTTAGTTTTGTTTATTTTCTGCATTGAATCATGAGAGAAGTATTTGTTTCATTAGCTGCTAATTGGTCTAACAGCTCCTCAAAGCTCCTGTAAACAAAGCTGATGAGCTTAAAGACGTAAATATCTTCTAAAGAGTTGAAGGGATGTGCACAGTTGGGAAAAGTTATGTCACTGTATCGTTACACAGTTAAGTCAAAACAAGCTCTATTTTGACTTAACAAAGTGTTTATTTTACACTTTGTTCCATTATTACACAAAACTGTGTGTCTGTTTTTTTTTTCTTTCTTTTTCTGCAACCAAACCTGGCAAACAGATGCATCTCAGGCCCCTGGAGGTTCTGATCAGTATTCGATATTATGGCATTGCCATATTGCCAAGCATCCACCAGCATTAGTTTAAAATGATGCATTTTGATTCAATTGCATTAATATCTAAGATCTTTAGATTCACA